TATCAAGCGAGTTTCTGGGGATATATATATATATATATATATATATATATATATATAATTTATTCGAAAATTGAAACAGATGAAAAGAATTGAACAAGACATTCTAACCATTCACCTGTTTATCAACATAATTCGAACAGTTTTATTCAAACTATCTTTCTTTCACGTATGATAATTACAGTTGTTAGAAAAAAATTCATCTTTGATCATTTAACTGCGAAAACAACTGACATTTTTGTTTAACTGAATTCAATTAAAATAGTTAAAGACCTAGTTATTATTTCTATTCAACATCAATCATCATATATTTCGTTTAAACCGTAACATTTTCAGAACTCAAATGGAAAAAAAGGTTTGGAAACATCAGTCTATTCAATCACAATCTAAGAATATGAATAATTGAGTTTAAATCTTGGTAACATTATTGATGATGATGATGATGATGATGATGGTGATAATGTGTAACAATGATGAAATTATTATGACATGTTTTGACAGTGTCTGAACATAGTCAAAACATAAAATGCACGTGTCGCTTTTTTTGTCTGTTCATAAAACTTTTTTTTCCAAAATATTGTTCATTTATGTGAATTGTAATAACTATTATCATGTTTTGTCATTTTGTTCCAAGTAAGTTCCCATTCTCATTTCACAATTGAATATAATAATAATAATAATAATGATAGTTGATATAAAAAAATTTAAGAATCAGTCATTCAGTTTCGATAAATCAAAGTCGATAGGCTTGAAAAAAAAAAATATTAATTTTTTATACAACTGGAATTGTTTGCGTCTATTTTTCGGTTATTCCTAATATAGAAAAAGTAATAACTCCGACTAGTTGCCACAGTTACTTACTTTGAGTGTGTATTGTGGTGTGTGTATGCGTAGAAAGCTTTTTATCGATTTTATTCGAGGTTGAATTCATGTGAACAACAACTCTCCTAAAGCCAAGTATACATACATAACTATAAAAATGTTCAATCAAAAAATAAACCTTTACTAATCGATTTTATTTCGTGAACCTTGATACTGATATTGTCAAATATAGAAATGATTATGCAATCTAATGGATTTCTCTTTTAAAATAAAGCACAGTTTTAACAAGAAATAGAGCATTCGATTAATAATGCCCTAAAGGCATTTCTCATTTTGTATTTGAAATAATAATTTGTTTATCTTAGATATTTATTTAAACTTTAAGATAAGTAAACAATTGGATTGATATTGTGAATGGTTTCTTTTTTATGTTGGTTTGACGCGAATGTCCTATTGATTCATAGTATAGATAGAAAATGGAAAATCTTAGTTGCAATAATTATTCACTGAGAACTATTAATTTTTAGAAATTAACTAAGCCAAATATGAAGTTCATTCGCTTTTCACCTCTTGTAGGTATTATCTTCTTCACAAGTGGAACATCTGTAAGAGGTTTCTAGGTTTTTATCCTACATGTGGGTCCATAAATATGAACATGTAGTATATTGGAAAGCT